CGATAAACTCTTTTAATGAATATGCTTCGAAATATATATACGCGTTGTTTATATTTCAATTTGTTTACTATGGCTTATGAATTATGTTATTATTAATGTTTAATATTAATGAATTAAAAACTACGAGCTGTACAGGCTCATAATTTCCTTTAATGGAATTTAATAACATGTCCAGTAGTAAAATGTGAAACGAGAATGTGTATATAATTATATATTTACAAAAAAAAAATGTCGATGCTTTTGCTTTAGTGTTAAAATGAATTTTTATTTTTAAATAAGGAATTTTTTTTCACGATAAGTATAATTGATAGAAAATTTAGTTTTTAATGTTAATATTTACCGTTTGTACACCGGTTTTTGTAATTGACTTTTATTAATAGTTTATTAATTATTAATAATTATTCATTATGTTAATAATTTTCAAAATAGGGATAATTATTAGTGTAATTAATAATTAAATTATTGGTAATAACTAATTATTGATATTAATTAATTACGTTTAGTATTAACTAATTACTGGTAAGTTTTGTATGAAGATTTTTGAGATGTCTCAATTGAAAAGTTACCTTACACATGGTCATTGTATTTTATTTAGTAGCCATACATTGTATCGTTGAAGCAATCTAAACGTCGTTAATTTAAAATTCTAATGCATAAAGTTAGAGTATTAATGGCTGGCTATAGGAGAGTTGAGTCAACAAAAAGACACTTTGCACCAGACCGGAATATCATAAGAGGTGCAAAACGGGTGGCTCTAAATTGAGCCCTTAGGCTCTCAGGGAAGAAATTCTAATATAAAATTGAAAATCTCGTTTTGTTAATCTTTAATTCTACTTTTCAAAAATGTTTATATATTAACCATCTCTATGGTGAGATATAATCTTGATTTAGATCTAAAATGACCGCATAAACTACTTTAAAAAAAAAAGCAGGGAAAATACAAAAAAAAAATTTTTTAACGGCTTTTGTAACCTTTAATTATTTTTTTAGTGATGTGTCAGTCACACATCTCACTTAAGAGTTGTACATTTATATGGGTGGTGAACCACAAGAAAAGGGGAGCAAGTTGAGACGACCCTCGATATTGTTTTTTTTACGAGGGTAGCTAAGTCGTAGACAGAAGTACACTGAAAAAGAGAAAGAGAGAGAGAGAGCATCTGTGCAATAAAAGCATAAACTATTTTTAACCTGGATGCAACATCGGCGAAACAGAAGCGTAGAGAGAGATCTCTTGAGTTTTACGAAGCCTCAATTAAAGTCAGTAAAAAAAAAGAAACGAAAAAAAAAAACGATATGGAAGAAAAGACTTGGTAAAAGTCAGGCAGAGAGTTCCCGGAAAGACGGGTTTACGCGCATATCTACACCCCGTGTATTCACCAAGACGTAGTATAATGCACAGAAAAGAGTGAGAGAGGAAGTTTACTATCAGAGTGAAAGATACCTCGCGCGTCTTATTTTCCACCGTGAAAGAGCAAAAGCGGCAAAACCTCCTCGCAATGTATCGTGTCTATTTTCTGGTAGTAAACCTGAATTAGGTCAAAAGTTTTGAGATTTCGCAGATCATAAGGGTGAAACAGAATAATTCTCGCCTTTCCATCCTTATTTATAATATGTATATAATACTCCTTCCAAGAAACCTATTTCATACAAAAAGCTATTAACAATCCCAAGGTCTGAGTTTTCAAACACAAATTTTTATTTTCATTATATATATATATATATATATATAACTCTCTATATATAGCTTTTACGATACCGAAAAGGTAAAAACCTTTCAAGTGGCATCAAGATAAAGAAGATGAAAAAAAAATATATATATATATGCAGGAATTCTTTCCAAAACCTGTTATTAGGACCTAATTATATTTATTGTATAGACTTTTAAAATTAATTTCAAAAACATAACGGAATATTATATCACGTTTTTTTTTTCATTTTTGAATCTTGTATTATTTACTTTTTATAATCTAAATTGTTTTTTTTTTTATTATTTTATTACAAGTTTCGGTCTTTAAGCTAAAAGTTTTTAAAACCTCTTTCTCTAAGCTTTTAGGCGGGAATGAGATATAATGGAGACGCCGTAAAGTTTATTGTGCTTTTGCCATTAAAAAATTAGTTATATTTTACCAATATTGGTAAATAAGCGGGTAGCAGTATAATTTTCATTACGTATATAATATTTTTAGATATTGAGTAAATATTTTTATGTTCCTGTTCTTTAATTGAAATTAATATATCAATTAAAGTTGAAAATTGTTATTGAATTTATTATTGGTTGGAAATTTTATGAACAATTACTTTATAATAATAATAAAAATAAATAATAATAATAATAATGTAACAATAATACTATTCGCATTGTTTTAATTAAAAGTACCATAATGTACAATTAAAACTAACAAAATACTGTAATAAAAACTATAAAAATCTACTATTGTTTATAAATTAATAAATTTTTTACTTTTTTGATTTAAATTTATATTTATAATTAAAATTTGTCATTATTTATAATATATTTAAATAAATGCAAAAAAAATAGTATTTAACAATTTGTAACTACAGTTATAATTAATTGGAAAAATTTATTTTCAATTTATTAATTAAGGCAGATAATCAGTGACTAATAAAAATATAAATTGTCGTCATAGATATGACTAAGTAGAAGGAAAAATAGTTATAGACATTAATTAACTCTTTTCTTGGTTGTTTTAATTAAGAAACTAGCAATGCAAGATAATTTTTTTTTCTACTTGAATTAATTAAGAAATGATCTAATGGGACTTATTACTTTGTTTCCTCATTTCTCATTGTCAGATTTCTTTATATACGAATATACCATAATTATAAACCGCGCATCTTCCTCATTATTAAATTAATAATTTTTAACAAAAATTTTATTTATTTTCTTATTACATAAAAAAAAATTAATATTTATAAAATTGATTTATTAATAATTTAAACAAAAAAAATATTTTTTTTATTTCCAATTGAATTTATTTTTTAATATAAAATATTATTTACATTGAAAACTGGTATTTTGTTTAGTTTGCGCATTAAACTAAAATTAGTTAAAGTTTTCTTTTGCTTCATTAGAATTGTGTTTATCTAGAAGCTTTATAAGAAATAAAAGAAGTTTACTTCTCGAAAGTTTCCACAAAGTTCCCCGAGATGTTAGATTATATGTTCTTGCTTGGAGAGGAGTAGCAAACTTATCAACTCTTCGGATCTATACTTCCTCTTGTTTATTTAGGACCCGATCATTTCACTTAAAACTTTTCAGTCATTAATCTAAATTAGAGCATTTTTTAGAATCCGAAATAGAGAAAGAAAAAAAAATCGAATTCTAAAATTTTACCTTCTCAAATTGATGAGAATATATTATTAAAAAGGAAAAGAAATTCGTATTAATATTTAAATTACAGTTAAAATTCTAAATTGTTTCCGATATTATTTTTTAATTATTATAACATTAGTAAATGTTGACGTAAAATTATTAACAGGAAAAAAAAAATATTCTACATTTTTCTCTTATTTTGTATTTATTTTCCCTCTATCGTCTAATGATTATGAATATATATTTTCTATAAAAATTTTATAATTTGTTACCTTGTATATTAGTAAAATAGAAATGTTATCTTTGTGGGACATTTATTGTCTCGCAACTTTCATATATTAGTTATAAAATGAAAGTTTGTAAATTTAAAATCTTAAACGTTTCCATTTAAAATTTTTTTCTAAGTCATTTACCAGATAACAGTATCTGATAATAATAATTTGTAATATGTAAATTATATTCCAAGTCTCGCGCAGTTTATTAATAAATAATTGCATATTTTGTGTGCGCAAAAAATCCGTATAGCTATTTTCAATAATTCATTTTTCAATATTGTAATGTACTTCCTGTAAAAGCATTCTAATTATCTCATTTGCCTACAAGCGTATTTATATTAATTCCTTAAGGAAAACAAACCACCTCATAATGTGTCAACATTTCGCATATCGGTATTTTCTTTCAAAAGTATTGAAAAAAAAAAAAAAAAAAATAGTTGATATTCTATGAATAGCACAAATTTATCCGAAGTAGAACTTTTATTGTATAGAGATTATAACCGGTAGCCACTGTCACCAATGTTTTCTTTATCATTTTATTAATTTCCAATAATTTCTCGCTAAGATTCATATTTATTGTGTGAACTGATTTTTTTATTTCAAACACGAGAAATTATTACTCAATTTACAATATCTTGTTTTATTTAAAAAATATATGAAATACCGACAGGAAATTGTGTTAAAACATTTTACACCTCGATATCCATATATTTTTAATTATATTTTATCGATAGAGGCACTAAGGAATTTAGGAATTATATTTAAAATTAAAACGAACAACAACTCTATTTTCCATTTTGTTTCTATATTGAAAAAGATTTCAAATCAATAACTTGTATGGGATCTATACCTCCTACCGTGCATGGTGTACATGTTATCAATGAACAAGCTACTTGCCTGTTCAAGAGATCGTGACATAAAACATATTACGTCTATAACTTGTTTGCACAACGTTCTTAACATACAATCTACTGGTTCCACCACTTATGCGAACATGCGTCTAATTACCTATACACTGTAATTTTATAGTTATATTCACAATTCTTATGCCAACATAAAATATTTTCAATTTATTAAAACAATTATTGGAAAAATCCATCAAAAAACTCATTAACCCAAGAAACTCATTACTCATTTAATATTCATTATGGAAAGTATCACTTTTGATTATCGTCATAAGTGAAATAAAAAAATGTACCTCAACACTTTTTAGAATAACTAGTTTTAATTTATCATTTTTTCCCCACATAAAATGATCTAGATTTCTGAATTACCGACGGATAAAAGGTATTGAACACAGATGGCGCTGCGATACTTGTCACAAATTATTATTTGTATAATTTTTTTCACTATTAAGAGAAAAACGTTTTTTTCTTTTTTGTTGTAGCACACTCTCACGGGTCATTGCGGAAAAGTGATGGCAGCCAAATTTCTTGGCGAGCCGACAAGAGTTGTCACTGGCAGTTACGATCGCACTCTAAAAATCTGGGACCTCCGCAGCAGAGCCTGTAAGTGATATGCATTTATATTCATTTTTTTTATTTTTTTTTTCAATGACCGGCTTTATTATTTTTATTATCATTGCTATTGAAGATCTAAAATCAAATTCAAAATGGCGAACTATTGAAAAATTCTATTAACTTTTAAAAGTTCAAAATATTTTATTAATCCATGGATAATTATTTTGCAATAATTATTTGAAATTAATGTTGGAAAATTATTGCTTGATTTTGTAATAACTTGCTATATAATAGAGATCTAATCATTATACAGGTCGATTAGCGGCGAACCAAAATTTAGATGGCGGCCTATAGACGGGAGTCGTTTGTATACTAGATTATATTCTGGCACGAGTAGTAATCACATTCTCCATTACCCTTATTAGTCACTGCATGATACATTAGATTTACAATCATTCAGAGAAAATAAAGCAAACATGGTATAATATCTGCATAGTCATTCAAAATATACAATAGGCCTTAGGCGTGGTATATATACACACTCTGACTTTGTTATACTTATTACTATATATCAAGTTCAATTTTCTAATAAACAAACAAGAAAATAAAATTGTATTTACATTTCGAAAATAATAATTTAATGAATGATATGTGAATACTATAAAATATAAATAATATCATAATAAGGGGGAAATTATTAATTAAAAAAAAGTAGACGTATTATAAATTTATGCAAGACTAAGTGTAAAAAAATATCCTTAGCAACCGTTGCTAGGGAAAAAATCATTAGCAACCGTCGCTAAGGAAAAAAAATCCTTAGTAACCGTTGATAAGGAAAAAAAATCCTTATAGTAACCTTTGCTAGGGAAAAATACTTAGAAGCCGTTGCTAAGGGAAGGAAATCCTTAGCAGCAGTTGCTAAGGGAAATAAATCCTTAGTAACCGTTGCTAAGAAAAAAAAATCCTTTTAGTAACCGTTGCTAGGGGAAAAATCATTAGCAACTGTCGCTAAGGAAAAATAATCCTTAGTAACCGTTGCTAAGGAAAAATAATTCTTATAGCAACCGTTGCTAGGGGAAAAACTTCTTATCATCTGTAGCTAAGAAAAAAATCCTTAGTAACGGTAGCTAGGGAAAAAAATTCCTTAGTAACCGTCGCCAAGGGAAAAAAATCCTTAGCAACCGTCGCTAACGGAAAAATAATCCTTATAGTAACCGTTGCTAAGAAAAAAAAAATATCCTTATAGTAACCTTTGCAAGAGAAAAATACTTAGCAGCCGTTGCTAGGGAAAAAATCATTACCAACCGTCGCTAAGGAAAAATAATCCTTAGTAACCGTTGATAAGGAAAAAAAATCCTTATAGTAAGCTTTGCTAGGGAAAAATTTTAGCAGCCGTTGCTAAGGGAAGGAATTCCTTAGCAGCAGTTGCTAAGGGAAATAAATCCTTAGCAACCGTCGCTAAGGAAAAATAATCCTTAGTAACCGTTGTTAAGGAAAAAAAATCCTTATAGTAACCGTTGCTAAGGAAAATAAATCCTTAGCTACCGTCGCTAAGGAAAAATAATCCTTAGTAATCGTTGATAAGGAAAAAAAATCCTTATAGTAAGCTTTGCTAAGGAAAATAAATCCTTAGCTACCGTCGCTAAGGAAAAATAATCCTTAGTAATCGTTGATAAGGAAAAAAAATCCTTATAGTAAGCTTTGCTAGGGAAAAATTTTAATAGCCGTTGCTAAGGGAAGGAAATCCTTAGCAGCAGTTGCTAAGGGAAAGAAATCCTTAGCAACCGTCGCTAAGGAAAAATAATCCTTAGTAACCGTTGATAAGGAAAAAAAATCCTTATAGTAAGCTTTGCTAGGGAAAAATTTTAGCAGCCGTTGCTAAGGGAAGGAAATCCTTAGCAGCAGTTGCTAAGGGAAAGAAATCCTTAGCAACCGTCGCTAAGGAAAAATAATCCTTAGTAACCGTTGATAAGGAAAAAAAATCCTTATAGTAAGCTTTGCTAGGGAAAAATTTTAGCAGCCGTTGCTAAGGGAAGGAATTCCTTAGCAGCAGTTGCTAAGGGAAATAAATCCTTAGCAACCGTCGCTAAGGAAAAATAATCCTTAGTAACCGTTGTTAAGGAAAAAAAATCCTTATAGTAACCGTTGCTAAGGAAAATAAATCCTTAGCTACCGTCGCTAAGGAAAAATAATCCTTAATAACCGTTGATAAGGAAAAAAAATCCTTATAGTAACCTTTGCTAGGGAAAAATACTTAGCAGCCGTTGCTAAGGAAAGGAAATCCTTAGCAGCAGTTGCTAAGAGAAATAAATCCTTAGCAACCGTTGCTAAGAAAAAAAAATATCCTTATAGTAACCTTTGCTAGGGAAAAATACTTAGCAGCCGTTGCTAGGGAAAAAATCATTAGCAACCGTCGCTAAGGAAAAAATAATCCTTAGTAACCGTTGCTAAGAAAAAAAATATCCTTATAGTAACCTTTGCTAGGGAAAAATACTTAGCAGCCGTTGCTAAGGGAAAGAAATCCTTAACAACCGTTGCTAGGGAACAAAATCATTAGCAACCGTTGCTAAGGAAAAATAATCCTTAGTAACCGTTGCTAAGGAAAAAGAATTCTTATAGCAACCGTTGCTAGGGGAAAAAATTCTTATCATCTGTAGCTAAGAAAAAAATCCTTAGTAACGGTAGCTAGGGAAAAAAAATTCCTTAGTAACCGTCGCCAAGGGAAAAAGATCCTTAGCAACTGTCACTAACGAAAAAAAATTCTTAGCAACCTTCGCTAGTAAAAAAAAGTTCAAAATAGATAAAATGACCCGAAATGTATAGGAGGGTTGTAGGACGCGGACGGATAGACTGAATAATAAATAAAAATCAATAATACGTAAATTATTAATAAAATTTATACAATAATTAAAAAATTATTATTAATAAACTCATTGAACATAATAAACCAATATTAATTTCAAAATTAATTTTTCAAAAGTGAATTAATTTTTTTTTCTCTCTTTCGCACTCTCTATGAAAAAAAAGTAATTAATGCAATAATAAATAGCATAATAACATCAGTTATTATTTAAAGATAACAAAATAATTCTTCATAAAGAAGAAGAAGCTATACTAACTCAAAAGAGAGTTTCTATCTTGATGCGTCTTTACAAATATGACATTGAATAATACTTGGAGCTTATAAATGCTGCCGTAATGATGAAGATTGTGCACAAAAATCATCCCCCTTTTTCCTTCGTTGTTGGGTTAATTACACCGATAATCTTCGTCCGTTGGAAAAAAAAAGAAAGATTTTCTACCTCTTCGTTTTCTCGCTCTTCGCTTTCATTCGCCTGTTAAGCGAACCCGTTCATTAGTGCAATATCGTATTGAATCCGCCTATTCGAGTTAGGTAAAATGAATTCTTGAATGAATGCAATACAAAGAGTTAAAAAAAAGAAGAAGAAGAAGAAAAAAAAGGAGTATATCGTTTACTATTATTAGATATGCTTTTTTACACACTTTATTATTATATTAAATGTTTTACTTCATTTTTTCTTGATAGTCTTTTTTTTCTGTATAATTTACTTTAGTTCTTTTTTTAAAATAGGATTTAAGTGAAATTAATTAAAAAAAAACAACTTTTTTAAATTAATAAACATTTGTTTTAGACGATTTTTTAAATTAGCCAGAATTGACCTTTTTTTGGGAGAAAAAAAATCTTTTATACCATTTTGACGAAACAAATGAATCTGTTTTATTTCAGTTCTTTTTTTTTTTGTTTCAACAAAAGAATCGAAAGAGAAACATTGATGAATAGTGACGAAAGCAAATAGATTAATTAAAGTTTTGCGGGGAATTGAATTTCGTTTTCTCGATAGACGTTTAACAAAAGTACGTGTCTCTATTTTAGTATTCCGCGAACAATAGTGTACGCGAGGAGAGAGAGAGAGAGAGAGCGTGCATTGAAAAAGGGGGAGGTCCTCGAAAGCTTGGATAACGTGAATGATATTAATTTGCAAAGTCCACCGAACAGAAACCTCGTTAAGGTTTCATCTGAGCTTGTTCGCCTGTTCGAAAACGAGTTTTGCAGTTTTAATTTATCGAGTTAAACGTTTGCCTCAGTGTAGAGTTTTACTTCCTATCTCGCCAGTTGACTCTCCTGCTTCGAGTCCAAGTCTTCGGACACTATATAATCACAGTGGCCATTGGATTCATTTTTATTATCAAAAAAAAAAAAAATAAAAAAAAAAGTAAAAGAAGTTCTATTACTGCAAAAAATGAATCCCTTTGAGAAATGGTCCAGAATTCGTGCATCAGACAAATCACTTATCGATTCTTCGTCGTTGAAAGACTTGGGATTTGTTGATCGATACATGTTGTAGCATATTAGTGAACAGATACAAGAGAATGATAAAAGTAAGCATAATAAACGTTAAGAGAAAGAGAGAGAGGTAGTTTTAAGTTGAAATGGAGATACGAGCACTTCAAAGCGGCATTCATGACCATACCTGTGTTTATAAAAAATATATTCGCATCAAACGAGTCTTATCTGACTAGGAATAGTTACTCAGTTGAAGTTACTTGTCCATTCATAGCGGACTCACAAGTTTCCTATCCGTCCTCAACAACTCTCCTTCGCGTTGCTCTTCTTCGCAAATATATATATATATATATATACACAAACAAACGTGCGATGGAAAAATTCGAACGAGCGGAAGAAGAGAGCAATGTCTACGCATAAATTTGCCAGCAAAATGTATAAAGATTCATAATGCAAACGGAGATTATTCTTTGGATAAAAGCCATGCGCTTGACAAATACAAAGAGGATATAAATAAACGGGAGCTGATTAACCCCCTCCCCCTCCCCTTTTCCCTCTACACAAGCGTCTTTGTATTACATGAAATATGAAGGTTTTACTATTATATAACCCCCTCTAACATACATCAAAAATTTCAATTTATTCTAACATGCATAATGCAACTTAGAAAACATTAATTAAATCTACATAAAATTCTGTTCTCCTTAATTGGAATCTCTATAAATGATACAATTTGTGAAGTAAAAATTAAAAAAAAAAAAAAAAAAGAAGAGGGAGAGAGACGAGATAAAGAAGAAGAGATTATTTAATAAAATATCCACTATCAGTTTTATGAAATCGCGCGAGAGGTAGGATGTTTTCCTAGAGGAAGATCGTGTCGTTCTTCCTCTTTTACACTAATGGCGATAGTCAACCTGCCGGATAAACACTCTGTATAACTTTAACTCTTGGAGAGAGAAAGAGAGAGAGAGAGAAAGATACCATGCAGTGCACCAAGTGTGATACATAATTTCAGACAATCGACATTCGCATCGCTACCGACGCGACGCTCCCTCAGATAATGTGAGTTTATGCCAACGACAAGTTTACTGTGTAAGTGATATCCCATAAAAGATAGTGAATCGTTGTGCGGCTTCTTGAGAGGAGAAATGCGCGTGAGCGCAAGAGAGAGAGAGAAAAAAAAATCATAAGGAGGAATAACGACTTTTCTCACGGTATGATGATCCTCTTTTACTGTCGAGAATTAAATTCAACATGAATTCTCAAATTATTCGAGAAGTCAAATGATAACTTTAGATTGGCGGTGCAATCAACGTTCTGAATAGTCACGAGGGAAAGTCCGATTATAGAGCCCATGGGAAGCATCAGACTTGAGGACCTTACTTTCAAATATCACAAAATTATCGATAACACTCTTAGTAACCATTATCACTGAAACCGTTTTAGATATTATTTATTGTCTTACTTTTCTTCTTCTATTACTTAACAAAACTGTCTTCAAAATGGGAAAATATTTGTAAAATAAATCAGTAGAATTTTTCCAGTTTCTTGTTATAACCGTTGCTAAGGATTTTTTTCCTTAGTGACGGTTGCTAAGAATTTTTGTTCCTTAGTAACAGTTGCTAAGGATTATTGTTCTTTAGCAACAGTTAATTAGGATTTTTTTCCCTAGCAACGGTTGTTTAGGATTGTTTCTTCTTTAGCAACAGTTGTTAAGGATTTTTGTTCCTTAGTAATAGTTGCTAAGGATTCTTTTTCCTTTGCAACCGTTGCTAAAGTTTTTTTCCTTAGTGACGGTTGCTAAGGATTTTTGTTCCTTAGTAACAGTTGCTAAGGATTATTGTTCTTTAGCAACAGTTAATTAGGATTTTTTTCCTTAGCAACGGTTGCTAAGGATTTTTTTCCCTAGCAACGGTTGTTTAGGTTTGTTTCTTCCTTAGCAACAGTTACTAAGGATTTTTTTCCTTAGTGACGGTTGCTAAGGATTTTTGTTCCTTAGTAACAGTTGCTAAGGATTTTTGTTCCTTTGCAACCGTTGCTAAGGATTTTGTTCCTTAGTAATAGTTGCTAAGGATTTTTTTCCCTTAGCTACGGTTGCTAAGGATTTTTTTCCCTAGCAACGGTTGCTTAAGATTGTTTCTTACTTAGCAACAGTTGCTAAGGATTTTGTTCCTTAGTAATAGTTTCTAAGGATTTTTTTCCTTAGTGACGGTTGCTAAGAATATTTTCCCTAGCAACGGCTGCTATGGTTTTTTTTCTTAGCAACGGTTGCTAAGGATTTTTGTTTCTTAGTAACAGTTGCTAAGGATTTTTTTTCCTTAGCTCAAAATTTTGTTGTCACGGTAAAAAAAAAATTGAGCATTAATTGCAATAAATTAACAATTACACTTCGAGAAAAAGAATCAAAATAAAAAAAAAATGTGAAACCAATTTTTGCTAATATTAAACACAAATGTAAATCACAAAAAAAAAAGAAAAAAAAAGAGTGTAAAGCTTTGAATTTAAATATTTATTTTCCCCAGTGAACTCTCTCGTTTGTTTGATGAAAACAATCTGAGAGAAATTGAATCATATTTTACAAGACGCAGGGTAAAACATGTGTTTAGATATACAGTTTGTTTATATATATTTTACCTGTAAAGTCTTGTGCTGCACTTGAAAGTGTTTTATTACAAATTTTATTCTGTTCCGGACAGTAAAGCATTGGCCCCCAAAGAAAAGATAGCGTATGCGGGTTGTCCGCATATTTTTTATCCCTTTCTATTTTACTCTCTCTCTCTCTATCTCTTTCTCTCTTTATACGTTTTACCAGCTTCCTCTCTGCAAAACGAAATTGAACCGGAAGACGTTACGTCGCACATTCCTTTCCTCTGGCTCTCTCTCTATACTTGCCTTGAGACATGTATATACATACCAACCCTCCATGAAAAATTTTACTGTTCAAGATCTCCACTTAAACTATCCGGATTTCTACGGTCGCATATTTTAGAAACTGACGTCAATAAAAAAAAAAGAACTAAATCCCTAAATATGTTCTCAAATTCTTTTTTTTTTTTTTTTTTTGAAAAAACTTGTAATTCAGTGTTTAATTTCACAAATTGTAATCAAAATCACAATTTTTTTTGAAGACAAAAGTTCTGTTACTATTAAGGATCAAAAGTATTATTTTTCTAAAGGACATTTTTTCCAAAGTTCTTCAAAGTAATTCTATTATTTTTCCAATTTTGAAAATGCAACTTCAAATCAGAAAACTTTTATTTCTTGTTATAAGTTTCAGTGTAAATTGACATTCGTTGTTTCCAAAATTATAGGAACATAAATTTCTGTTAAATTGTAAATACTAACTTTTTTTTGTCTAGCGAAGCTTGCTAAGGATTTTTGTTCTTTAGCAACTGTTAATTAGGATTTTTTTCCTTAGCAACGGTTGCTAAGGATTTTTTTCCCTAGCAACGGTTGTTTAGGATTATTTCTTCCTTATCAACAGTTGCATTTTGTTCCTTAGTAATAGTTGCTAAGGATTTTTGTTCCTTGGTAACAGTTGCTAAGGATTTTTTCCCTTAGCGACGGTTGCTAAGGATTTTTGTTCCTAGCAACGGTTGCTTAGGATTGTTGCTTCCTTAGCAACAGTTGCTACGGATTTTGTTCCTTAGTAATAGTTGCTAAGGATTCTTTTTCCTTTGCAACCGTTGCTAAGGATTTTTTTTCCTTAGTGACGGTTGCTAAGGATTTTTGTTCCTAGCAACGGTTGCTTAGGATTGTTGCTTCCTTAGCAACAGTTGCTGCGGATTTTTTCCCTTAGTGACGGTTGTTAAGGATTGTTTCCCTAGCAACGGTTGCTTAGGATTGTTGCTTCCTTAGCAACAGTTGCTGAGGATTTTGTTCCTTAGTAATAGTTGATAAGGATTCTTTTTCCTTTGCAACCGTTGCTAAGGATTTTGTTCCTTAGTAATAGTTGCTAAGGATTTTTCCCCTAGCAACGGTTGCTTAGGATTTTGTCCCTTAGTAATAGTTGCTAAGGATTTTTTTCCCTAGCAACGGTTGTTTAGGATTGTTTCTTCCTTAGCAACAGTTACTAAGGATTTTTTTCCTTAGTGACGGTTGCTAAGGATTTTTGTTCCTTAGTAACAGTTGCTAAGGATTTTTGTTCCTTTGCAACCGTTGCTAAGGATTTTGTTCCTTAGTAATAGTTGCTAAGGATTCTTTTTCCTTTGCAACCGTTGCTAAGGATTTTGTTCCTTAGTAATAGTTGCTAAGGATTTTTTCCCCTAGCAACGGTTGCTTAGGATTTTGTCCCTTAGTAATAGTTGCTAAGGATTTTTTTCCCTAGCAACGGTTGCTTAGGATTGTTTCTTCGTTAGCAACAGTTGCTAAGGATTTTTGTTCTTTAGTAACAGTTGCTAAGGATTCTTTTTCCTTAGTGATGGTTGCTAAGGTTTTTGTTCCTTAGTAACAGTTGCTAAGGATTTGTTTTCCTTAGCAGCGGTTGCTCAGGATTTTTCGCCCTAGCAACGGTTGCTTATGATTGTTTCTTCCGTAGCAACAGTTGCTAAGGATTTTGTTCCTTAGTAATAGTTTTCTTAGCAATCTAGAATAAAATTTTACTTTTTTCACTTACTTTAATCAAATTGCAATTTTTGAAAAATGCAATTAATTTAATGTTTCTAATTAGTTCTATAATTAAACAAAAGAAAGAGGAATTTTCCTGGTCTTATTTTGAAAATCGTTTTCTTTTTATTCTTTAGGTGTTACTACTACTAACTATATAGGGTATTACTCGTTTATTTTCAAAGTTAATTGGCTTGGAAAAGGACGTAATGTTTTATTTTCTCTCATATAATTTTATTATATATTTGTATCATTAAAAAGATCTTGATTCTGAAAGGACTTTCGTAAAATGGAAATTGATACTATCGAGTGAGAGAGAAGCTCACCAATTTCACATTGAACACACATACATACATACATGCATACACACACAGTGGGTCAGATAGACGTGGAATAGAAATTAAACTGACTGGTGATCGTGCAAAAGATGGGCGTAAACGGAAAGCTCGTAATTTATCTAGTTTACGGCCCTTCCACACAGCGAATCAGCCCCCTTTCACCAAAAACCCTTTTCGAAGGGATTCACCAAACTGAAACGACAGGAATGTATTTTCCTTGGCTAGACAAATTAATAGCCTCTACATTAAACGTGAAACCATCTTCTCGAAACTCAACTATATACTTCTGCCTTTCAAAGCTTCACTCGGCTTAAATCAATTAAATTTTCCCATAAATCACAATGTTTTATTTTTCCCCTAATTAGTAATGAACAAAAAAATTAATCTATTAATAAAAAATAGAAATTTTTATTTTTGACAATTTGCACTAGTTTTTATTTTTCTAGATTGAGTAAAACAAAATATTCAATTTTTGTTTCAGGTATAGAGACGAAATTTGCTGGTTCGAGTTGTAACGATCTTGTCACGTCCGATGGATCAGGATCGACAATAATCAGTGGCCACTTTGACAAGAGGATACGATTCTGGGATTCCAGAGCCGAATCCAGCTCCAATGACATACCTCTGCAAGGGAAAATCACATCCTTGGATCTGTCACGTGGTAAGATCAAATATTCAGGATACGTTTCAAAATACGATTTGCACGAGGAAAACTTTCAAAACTCTCTCTCGAGAATAGTATTATTTCTTTATTATACAGTCAAGAACTTTTAATTACAAAAAAAAAATCAAATATTTCAAATTAATTAATAACTATTTTTTTAACTATACAATTCAAAAAAAAAATTACAATGGAAAATATTTTTTTTTTGGCAAATTAAATTTGTCGAGTAATTTAAAAAAAAATGAGTTCATTAATGATGGTAATAATTTAAAAATTTTTCTTAAGCAAAAAAAAAACAGAAAAAGTTTCGTTTCATTGTCCATTAGTATATTTGAGTCATTTTCGCGTCTTTTATATGCCTTGAGACTGGTGAGAGAAAATGACTTCAATTAATTCTCTCGACACTATGGCAAGGAACGGTTTTAATAAAAATTTCGAAGGAGACTTTCCATAAAATGACCCCCAACCTTTTTTTTTCGTGACGTTTTAATATCAAATCTGCAAATTTCAAAAGAAGAGGGAATAAAAGAGAGAATCTTCTTATTACCTTTACTTTTATACTCGCGCCTTTTCATTGTATAATTTTCAGTCTTGCTACTTCAAAATATTTCACTTGAAATTTTTTTCTTTTTGACAAATCTAAAACAGAGATTTTTAAATTTTAAAAAGAGTGTAATTTTTTTTAAAAATAAGTGACTTTAATTTATAATATTTTGCTCATTATATTAGAATAGTCAAATTAGAAATTATTATTGAATTATTTTTAAATAATAATTATTTATTTATATTAGATAATAATTAATAAAAAAAAAAAATAAATAAACGTGAAAAATTATTTAAAGTTTAAAAACATTCCATTTATTTTAAGCGTAAATGTATTCTTATTTTCAGAATAAATTTGTTTCGTTGTAATTAAAATGTGAGATTTAAATGAATGTTCGCCAGATAACTTGATGAAAAGCAATTTAAGTTGGGAAAATTCACGCATTCTCTATCACCGAAAATATATTGAAATTTATGCAGATTTTTTTTTCCAGATGCAAATTATCTTCTTAGCTGTGTGAGGGATGATACGGTCAAGCTTCTCGATCTTCGAATGAAACAGATTGTTGTCTCTTTTAGGTAAGTTCTCTAATTTTAAAATTTCAGTTTGTTATCTTTAGTTGATAAATATCGTATTCCGATCGTTTCCTACCACCCTAAATTTTTTTCTACACTCGATTTTCTAAAAAAAAAACCAAAATTTCAAATTTACCCCACGCTGCTGGGCATTGTTTATTGCAATAAAAATTGTTACTATTTTTTTGTTACTTATTGTCAACTAAAGTTGATAAATATCGTATTCCGATCGTTTCCTACCACCCTAAATTTTTTTCTACACTCGATTTTTTAAAAAAAATTCAAAAGGACACCGCACAAGCATATTTGGCATCGTCTTAAGGTTTGGCGTTGACTCAGGGCTTATATTTTGGCTCAAGGATTGGCTTCAACTTAAGGTTTGGCTCTGGCTCAAGGCTTAAGTTTGACACAAGCCTTAATCCAATGCCAAGCCTTGAGCCAAACTCAAGTCTTAAGCCAAAGCCATGCCTTGAACCAAACTTACGCTTTGAGCTAAACTTAAGCCTTGAGCTAGAGGGATTTAGTTTTTGTTGCCTAGTTTTAATGCTTTCAACGTAGTACAGCTCAGATGGGCTTCGTTTTTGGAGGTTTTGCTGTGAACATTTTTTTTCAGAAGTTGATGAGCTACAAAACTACAATGTTTAAAAAAACTTGACCGAAAGATTTTTCTCCTATAACTTGTGCGGGGTCCTTTCTAAACAAAATTTGAACAATTAAAAATTCAAAAAAGGGTAGAAATTAAAACATTAAAAAAGAGTTAAAGTAAAAAATTGGAATTATATAATTTGAGGGGGTTGAAAATTACACACACACACATATATATATATATATATATATATATATTGTCTAAAATAGATGGAAAATTGTGTGCAATATAATTCGAATTTCCATTTGAATTTCATTTTGTTGACACAGTGCACTAGATTTCGAAATCCAATTTTGGTTACTTATCGTTTTACGTTTGTGAAATGGCGGCAGGGTTATTTCGCACCGATGTGGTTTTAGATGCAATTCTCTCGGTGATGCGGTTTGGCCAGATTACAATGCGTTGCTTTGCAGATAGTGACGGTCGTCTGTCAATCACTCTCACATCACGCGAATAAAAGTAAAGGCGAAACTTGGTGGTTTTTAATTAAAATATTCTCTCCCGTTGCGCATTTCCATTATTTCCTTGCCTTCATGCCAATAACCAATTTTACAATTAATGACAACGCAAGTTTAACACAAATCACTGATTCCAATAATTGTAAAATTAGTTTCATTTATTTTGCGTTAAAATTTTTTTTCTGAACCCAAAAAAAAAAAATGTAAATGGCTAAATTCGTAATAATAGAAATTCCCTGAGAAGGGGTGGAATTTTTTAATTTTACATTTAGATTAGACCTGTGCAAAATAAATCGAACCGAACTGTTCGAATTTTTACGCCGAGTTCGAATGTCGAAAATCCGACATCCGAGTCAGTCCAGTTCGAATGTCGAATGTTCGAAATTTGAGTCAGGCTCATTAAAAACCGAACAAAATTCGATTCGGTTCGAACATTGCACAGCTCTAAAAAAATCCCTTTCCAAGTCAAATAAAATTAATCAGCATGTTTCTTTTATTTTTTTTACCTTAAAACAACACGTATTACCATCAAAAAAAACCTACCAATTGAACCTAAATTGCAATAGAATCAGAATAATCAATTTTTTTCGATTTTTTTAGATAGAATGTTTTCCTGCAAAATGAAAAAATCCCTTTCAAAGTCAAACAAAATTAATCAGCATGTTTCTATTATTTTTTTTCCTTAAAACAACACGTATTACCTTCAAAAAAACCTACCAATTGAACCTAAATTGCAATAGAATCTGAATAATCAATTTTTTTCGATTTTTTTAGATAGAATGTTTTCCTGGAAAATGAAAAAATCCCTTTCAAAGTCAAACAAAATAATTCATTATGTTTCTATTATTTTTTTACCTCAAAATATCACGTATTACCTTCAAAAAGACCAATTGAACCTAAATTGCAAGAGAATAAGAACAATCAATTTTATTCCATTTTTTTAGATAGAATGTTTTCCTGGAAAATGAAGAAATCCCTTTCAAAGTCAAATAAAATTAATCAGCATGTTTCTTTAATTTTTTTTCCTTAAAACAACACGTATTACCTTCAAAAAAACCTACCAATTGAACCTAAATTGCAATAGAATCAGAATAATCAATTTTTTTCGATTTTTTTAGATAGAATGTTTTCCTGGAAAATGAAAAAATCCCTTTCAAAGTCAAACAAAATAATTCATTATGTTTCTATTATTTTTTTACCTCAAAATATCACGTATTACCTTCAAAAAGACCAATTGAACCTAAATTGCAAGAGAATAAGAACAATCAATTTTATTCCATTTTTTTAAATAGAATGTTTTCCTGGAAAATGAAGAAATCCCTTTCAAAGTTAAACAAAATTAATCATTATGTTTCTATTATTTTTTTACCTTAAAACAACACGTATTACCTTCAAAAAAACCTACCAATTGAACCTAAATTGCAAGAGAATAAGAACAATCAATTTTATTCCATTTTTTTAGATAGAATGTTTTCCTGGAAAATGAAGAAATCCCTTTCAAAGTCAAATAAAATTAATCAGCATGTTTCTTTAATTTTTTTACCTTTAAACAACACGTATCATCTTCAAAGAAACCTACCAATTGAACCTAAATTGCAATAGAATCAGAATAATCAATTTTTTTCCATTTTTTTAGATAGAATGTTTTCCTGGAAAATGAAGAAATCCCTTTCAAAGTCAAACAAAATTAATCAGCATGTTTCTATTATTTTTTTAACCTTAAAACAACACGTATTACCTTCAAAAAAACCTACCAATTGAACCTAAATTGCAATAGAATCAGAATAATCAATTTTTTTCGATTTTTTTAGATAGAATGTTTTCCTGGAAAATGAAAAAATCCCTTTCAAAGTCAAACAAAATAATTCATTATGTTTCTATTATTTTTTTACCTCAAAATATCACGTATTACCTTCAAAAAGACCAATTGAACCTAAATTGCAAGAGAATAAGAACAATCAATTTTATTCCATTTTTTTAGATAGAATGTTTTCCTGGAAAATGAAGAAATCCCTTTCAAAGTCAAATAAAATTAATCAGCATGTTTCTTTAATTTTTTTACCTTTAAACAACACGTATCATCTTCAAAGAAACCTACCAATTGAACCTAAATTGCAATAGAATCAGAATAATCAATTTTTTTCCATTTTTTTAGATAGAATGTTTTCCTGGAAAATGAAAAAATCCCTTTCAAAGTCAAACAAAATAATTCATTATGTTTCTATTATTTTTTTACCTCAAAATATCACGTATTACCTTCAAAAAGACCAATTGAACCTAAATTGCAAGAGAATAAGAACAATCAATTTTATTCCATTTTTTTAGATAGAATGTTTTCCTGGAAAATGAAGAAATCCCTTTCAAAGTCAAATAAAATTAATCAGCATGTTTCTTTAATTTTTTTTCCTTAAAACAACACGTATTACCTTCAAAAAAACCTACCAATTGAACCTAAATTGCAATAGAATCAGAATAATCAATTTTTTTCCATTTTTTTAGATAGAATGTTTTCCTGGAAAATGAAGAAATCCCTTTCAAAGTCAAACAAAATTAATCAGCATGTTTCTATTATTTTTTTAACCTTAAAACAACACGTATTACCTTCAAAAAAACCTACCAATTGAACCTAAATTGCAATAGAATCAGAATAATCAATTTTTTTCGATTTTTTTAGATAGAATGTTTTCCTGGAAAATGAAAAAATCCCTTTCAAAGTCAAACAAAATAATTCATTATGTTTCTATTATTTTTTTACCTCAAAATATCACGTATTACCTTCAAAAAGACCAATTGAACCTAAATTGCAAGAGAATAAGAACAATCAATTTTATTCCATTTTTTTAAATAGAATGTTTTCCTGGAAAATGAAGAAATCCCTTTCAAAGTTAAACAAAATTAATCATTATGTTTCTATTATTATTTTACCTTAAAACAACACGTATTACCTTCAAAAAAACCTACCAATTGAACCTAAATTGCAAGAGAATAAGAACAATCAATTTTATTCCATTTTTTTAGATAGAATGTTTTCCTGGAAAATGAAGAAATCCCTTTCAAAGTCAAATAAAATTAATCAGCATGTTTCTTTAATTTTTTTACCTTTAAACAACACGTATCATCTTCAAAGAAACCTACCAATTGAACCTAAATTGCAATAGAATCAGAATAATCAATTTTTTTCCATTTTTTTAGATAGAATGTTTTCCTGGAAAATGAAGAAATCCCTTTCAAAGTCAAACAAAATTAATCAGCATGTTTCTATTATTTTTTTAACCTTAAAACAACACGTATTACCTTCAAAAAAACCTACCAATTGAACCTAAATTGCAATAGAATCAGAATAATCAATTTTTTTCGATTTTTTTAGATAGAATGTTTTCCTGGAAAATGAAAAAATCCCTTTCAAAGTCAAACAAAATAATTCATTATGTTTCTATTATTTTTTTACCTCAAAATATCACGTATTACCTTCAAAAAGACCAATTGAACCTAAATTGCAAGAGAATAAGAACAATCAATTTTATTCCATTTTTTTAGATAGAATGTTTTCCTGGAAAATGAAGAAATCCCTTTCAAAGTCAAATAAAATTAATCAGCATGTTTCTTTAATTTTTTTACCTTTAAACAACACGTATCATCTTCAAAGAAACCTACCAATTGAACCTAAATTGCAATAGAATCAGAATAATCAATTTTTTTCCATTTTTTTAGATAGAATGTTTTCCTGGAAAATGAAGAAATCCCTTTCAAAGTCAAACAAAATTAATCAGCATGTTTCTATTATTTTTTTAACCTTAAAACAACACGTATTACCTTCAAAAAAACCTACCAATTGAACCTAAATTGCAATAGAATCAGAATAATCAATTTTTTTCCATTTTTTTAGATAGAATGTTTTC